CTACTACTACTTCTACGACGACGACTACTACTACACCAATCCTGTTGCTGCTGCCAGTGCGAATACTGCGAGTGCTGCGACTGTACCACTGCTACCACCACTCGCAATGACGTTGACCATGACCATGACGAGATGAGGATGAGAATGACCAAGAGTAGGAGGAGGACGTTGATGAATGATGATGCTGCTGCTGCTGATGATGATGATGACTCTGATGACGATGACGATTATGATGACGATGATGCTAGTGACGATGACGACAATGATGACGATGATGATTATGACGACGACGACGACGACGAGTATGATGATGATGATGAAGATGATGAATGATGATAACGACCGTGTCCACAATGATGATTGACTGGTGCTTGTGCTGGGTGCTGGTATGGTGATGGTACCGATGCCCATGCTGTTACACCGGCAAGTTTCATCTGCCTCCGCTCGGTCTCTGGCGGTCGTGCCCACAACCTCGAAGCAGGCAAGCGACTCATGTGTCGCTTAGCCCTCAGGGGTTCCGAATGGGGGCACATGTCATTGAAGGCCCTACCAGACACGGACTATAACGAATCCTTCGACCTTCAGTGCTGCGCTCTTTGCACCAAGACTCGAAAACCAGAACGATACGGATTCCGAGACCAGGCCAACCCTCATTGACATCTGGGAAGAAGCTTCACATGTCGTCTCATGAATGCAAGTCCAGCGACGACCTTCAGGTTTTTGTTCGTTGCCATGATGTCGGCCAGCCCCTGAGCACAAAACGCGAGACTACACACACCTAAACACTGAGTCCAGTAAACCCCTAAAATGCTGCCAACTCTACTCTGTGAAGCCTTCCTACCTTGCTCCCTTCATTTGCCCATCCATCATGGCCTGCGGATTGTGCAGAATGATCGTGGCTGGGCCTCAAGGGCATTGCGGATGGCATCAAGCGGCTGTAACACACAAACGTGGTGATGGATGGAGGTGGGGACACGAAGCTGGATGGATGGACCTGTCGAACTGAAGGTGCATCTTAAAGGTGTCGTGTTTCCAGCATAGCCAGATGCGGTATGCTCGAAACACCAATGCTGAGAACTACAATTGCGACACTGGAGAAAAGAAGAACAATGATGTCGATAGCATCCGTAGCTTCAGGGTATGCAAGAGATCTCAGTACATCCGCCTCCGATTTCGAGTCTGCCGGGCTCCGTGCGGATGGTGGTGGTAGTGGTGGTGGTGGTGGTGGTCCTGGTGCGCTCCAGAGGAGGAGGATGGCGAGGCCGGTGGCTGACCTGGAAGCCCCAAAAACCACAGCCTGCTAGGAAAAGCTTTGCTGCGCACCTCGATTTCGCAGACCGACGACCTCACGCCTTCTATCCTAAACCCTGTACTGCATTCGATCGCCAGAGCCAGGGCACTCTTTGCAGCACCGGTGTAGTGTTCAGGTGGCATGCGCCATCTCAGCTCTGCAGCGCATCAAAACACGGCTCTTCACAGCCAGAGGAAAACATCGTGCCTCTACTGCCCTCGATTTGTCGGCATCATGAGTATTCTTAACCTCAGAGCTCACACCCCGCTGCTAGGAAGTTCGAGCTGTTGATAAGGTCGAGTCAAGCATCGAACTACGCGCTACGACAAGTCAGGCCCGGCTATCGTCTCCTCAATTAGCACTGGCATGTGCTGTAAGCAGGCTTACTCTGGCCCAAAAAGCAATCTCCAGGCTAGTACCTCGGTTCGGACGAGCCACATACCATCTTTGCCATGGACAGGCAGTAGGGGTCGCCGCCGATCCGACACGCCAGGCGTTCCACCAAGCATGATGGAACACAGGCAAACGGCACGTGTTGGCGACTTTTCGGTGCAGATTCTGCTGCAGGGGTCTTGCAATGTCGTATCAGCATGGTCAAGAATGCAACTTTGAGAAGCTTCTCTAACAAAGCCACTTTATCTCGCAGCAACTGATCCAGTGAGCCGGCAATGCTCTACATGAACTCTCGAGTTTGCGCATCAGCTTCTGCCACGCAAGTCATGTCGCGCTGCTCTCGTCCTTAGGCCCGTGGCCCCAGACTTCGGGCAATCTCCCTGAGTGCAGACGGTCCTGGCGTCGCACTTCCTGCATCAATTGCGACATCTTCACTGCACGGCCATCACAGATCACATGTACCAGCTGCTTGCCAGTCGCGACCCCTTAACTTATTAACCCTACAACGTAGGATTAAGTCGCCTCAAACTTCTCTTCGCGGCACACAACGGTTACGGCAAGGCATTGCTAGCGCAGCGCATGGGAAAACCAGCGCAAGCTGCTCGACGGAAATGACAATGCCACCTGTCGCAGCGTCTCCATGGAAAGGCGCAGTTCCGCAAGCTGTGCTGCGCCGGCGAAACCTGCAGCATTGCTTGAAGTTTTGCAAAACCTGATGGAGTCTCCAACCTGCAAGAGCTGAACGACAATTTCGTCAGAACTTCGAACCATCGTAATACTGTGTACAGAAGCAAGACAAGACAAGCTCACTGTAGAAACGTGTGAACCCTTTGCATCCGGCTCTTGTTCAGACCGTGAAGCGAAGCTTGCTGACTTTTGTTACGAGTCTAACCTCCGATCATGGCAAGGAGCCGAGCACAAACAGGCAAACGCAGACTGGTGGTGGCAGACGTCTACCATTTGATGGATAGCCGGGGCCGGCACTCGAATCGAGAGTTTGCGGTGCAGCGGGCACAGAGACGGCCGGTGGTCCTGAAACCGCAAATGCCTCTTGGATGATATGTTTATCTTGCGGGAACGCTACTTATCTTATCCTGCTGCTACGAAAGTTACAGATGTACCGACCGTGTTGGCTACGTTTGGCTACTATGATGACTAGCCGATATCGTCACCGGCAGCACGTTCGGTCTTGGTGCTGCCACTGCTACTACTGCTGCCACTGCCACTGCTGCTGCCACTGCTGCTGCTGCTGCTGCTCCTGCTGCTGCTGCTGCTGCTGCTGCTGCTCCTGCTGCTCCTGCTGCTCCTGCTGCTGCCCTGCTGGTGCGACGGCTACTACTACAACACTTGCCGCCACAGCCGTTGTTGCTCTTCTTGTTGTTGCTTGCTGCTACGGTAGGCCTTGTCACTTGAAAAAGGCTCCAGCTGCTCTGGCTTATAAAGTTACTGTCATCATAAGGATGGTCGCAATTGCTTGGGCGGTGTTGGTGGCATGAGTGAGATCATTGTCGCTCCTGCTGCCTGGTATTCCTGCCGTCGCAACGATGGCAGGCCGATGATGCACGCTTACCGCTTCTGCCGTCAGCATCGCTGCGTCCAGCACTCCGGAGAACCCCTGTCCAAGTAGCTTAGCACAAATTGCCTAGGGAGCTTCAATGAAACTCTGAAATCCTGTACGGGTCCTTCGGCAACATCAGAGAAGAGCAAGAAGGCCATCAGACCGAGAGGCACCTGGAATGCTTTCAGACTGGGATACAAACCCTAAATAGTAGTGTGGCTTTTCTAAGGACAGCCGAATGAGGGACCCCTAGCTTTAAGAAGCCCGAACATGCCCAACTGCTCAGCTCTTGAACAGTTCGTGAATCACAACAGCGGCAAAATGCAGGGATTCGAATTGGGCCACGTTTTGGTCGATTGCATCTCGTTGACCAAACTTATCGCATATCAACTGCACCCAAGCCACCATCCCCGTGACAGCGGCGCAAAAAGCCTCACATCAGCCACGATGAAGATCGAAGTGAGGTTTCTTGCATCTGACTACTCCAGTACCGGATTGAAGGTTTCGAAGTTGTCAGGCTTCGCCTATTCGAGATCCCGTTTGTGTTTAGGATCGCTCGATCTTGCTCCTATCAGGGCTGAGGCCTCGCATCCCATCGGGGCCGTCAACTAACCCTGGTGAACCAGTACTGTGTGCCGATGCTGGAAGTGGTAATCGAACATAGCAGCGAGAATGGCAGTACTGGCAAGAGTAACAGCAATGATTCCGAGACCATAGTGGTAGTGGTATTGGTGGCATGAGGAGCACTGGCGGCAGTGGTGGCAGGCAGACGAGCAAGCATTATGAGAACGAAGATTCAAGAACTGTCTGCGTCAGCTGTCATCATGTTAGTAACAATAATACAGTAGCATTGACAAGGAGGCAGCGAATCCGAAAAGCTGCGCCAAGAAGCCTGGGGATGAGTCAACTTTGGAGGCTGATACAGGCAATCTTTGAGATCTGCGAAGTCTTCTTCCAAGACACAACTCGGCTTTTGACGCGATGCCAGGTTTCTTGTCCATCGTTACTGAAGGCACAATGTCACAACAAACTCCTTCGTTCAACTTCTATGCTTCCTGAAAAGTTCGCCAAGCGAATGACATCAAGGATAGTGGGTCTGCGGCGACGTCGACCCAGTCGCTTGAGGCACCCAACACACACGATCGAAACCAGGTGCCCGACTGCAATCGGAAGATTCAGGCGCCTTGCAATGCCAAGGCGGAGGCCAAGGTGCACGAGAGAGCTTAGGGCCTTGTGGCTCCGGAAGATTCCAAATATTGAACGAGCAGCTACATTGGCAATCCCAGCCCTGTGCAAACCCAAGAACGACGGGGCTGTCACAGAGCACCATGCTGGGTGGGCTTTAGGCACCCCAGGGAACACGCATCGCACCATAGCTGGAACATGCGTCGCACGCCAAAAATAACCTCAAGAAATTCGCGAGACTGTAGCGGGAGCACGCGGAAACAAGCGCCAGCACGATTTTCCCAAAGCCCAGCAACGAGCCTCCAGGAGCCGACAATGCTGAGACTCTAGTAACTTCAAGTGCTATGGAAAGCCAGAATGAGGATGGGACTGCCGAGAGAGCACAAACCCTACGACTCTATACGTTAATTGCTGCTACACAGGGCTTTACCAAGAATCCGGTCGTGGTTGGACGTGCCCGAAAGTGCGCACACCGCCACAGCGGGAGCCTGGGAACCCATGCTGCTATCACGAAGAATAAAGGCAGCAGAAACAAATTGAAAGGCACGGTAACATTCGGCAAAGCCAAATTCAAATCCGTTTAGCTTGAAGGCCGCCTCCTATGATCTCTTTGTAAGGTTTGTGCGGCTGGAGTTTAGTTCCAACTGCACCAAGTAGGACTTCCGACGCGACGGTACCTGTCGCCTTTGGCACCGCCCGCAGAGCGAGCTGTTATCTAAGGCGAATATTGGAGTCGCCGGTCGCGAACCCGAACTGCCCTCTTGCCTTACTTGTCCTTCCTTTCCGCAGTAGTGGACAATAAGTCGAGCATCCATTCCTTAAGAAACGCTCTGTGAGAGCAGCGATTGGGATGGCAGTTACTTCGAGAATTGCTCTTGCAAAGTCCTTGTAAACCCTCTGTGGACCTTCTGAGCCCCAGGGCCTACGCCTATAGGCCACCCTCAAACATGGCTGGTCTCGGTCCCTTCCCTGCCTGAGTCTTTCGAACTGCCTCTTGCCAGGCGTTGAAGGACCCATACTCGGAGGAGCTTCCTCTCATGGGCTTAGGGTCCCTTGGCTTCTACTGTTTGCCTTTACTGTCGGAGCTTTCGAGCTGGGGGACATTGGAACCCTCAGCTCCGACCTGCCTGTAGAACTAGATGCGGGTTTGTGCACACGACCCGGGAGCACGGAAGAAGGCCGCGAATGGCTTCCTTGGTGGGTTCCCCAGTCAGGATGCTGCGACGGCGAAGTTCCTGCCCAAGAGTCGCAATTTCAGGTAATGCTTTGAGGTCTTGGACGCCCAGGTGAAAACCACAACATAAGCCAGCAAGAGTAAGAGTGCTCACAAATATCGACGAAGACTGTCTCACACGTCAACACCAGTGCCTGGTCGTTCCATTCACGGCAATCACGTGCGCGACGCCTCGGTATCCAACCGGAAGGCTGCATCGGACAACAAACTGAGGTTTCAGGAAGGACTCTTCCTTCGCAACACTCTGATTCCGATCCCTTCTTTATGTCTCGGCGGAAGTTGTCCTTTCATTTGCTTGCGTCCCGCTACAGACAAGACAATCCAAATTTCGCCTGACCCGGCAATTGAAAGCCTGCCGACCGGATGAAGCCGTCTCTTCAATCTACCTCATCTCGTCAATGGGCAAACATCGTACCCAACTCTGCAACTCTGTTCCCAAATCGAAGGGTTTCTGTTGCGAACTTCAGTGTGGCTTTGTCGGTCACCTGCGCCCCGCACAGCCCTTCTTTTCTCCTCCGTCAGAGTCGGCTGAAGGCAGCGGCGCGACGCCGAGCTTCCGGGTCGGAGGGCCTTGGCAGCGCTGTGATCAAGAATCGAAGGGGTGCGACGACATGGCACCAAAAGGAATAACATCCGCAGTGCAAACTCTAAAGCCCTCGTTTCAGAGCCACAGACAAGTTGCAAAAAATGAGGTGCAGTGGAATGAACCGTTCCAAGCCTCGGGCCCTTTGCCCCCACCACCGAAGGGTTGCGCGCGGCTGCAATGGTGGTCTGCCAGGTCTTGGAGGTACTCCTGCTCAAGGTCTTGCAGATCCACAGGATATAAACCGTTTGTAAGTGTGTGTATATATATATATATGCAGGAATTTGCCACTACTAATCACACTACTGGTGGTAGAATGACTATTGTGATCACCGTAACTATTAACTTTGCTGCTGATACAGCGTTCTCTGATTACAACGGTAACTCTCGCTACTACTATTGCTATTTCCGCCGCTACTATGGCTGCAGGGGCCCGTTTCTAAGGCTCAGTCCACAAACTCTCTCTGTGTCTCTGAGCTGCGGTCCTCCAAGTCTTCTGCCAGGTGATGTATGGCATCACCCTGCAGCTCTCAAAATTCCGTGCTTGGCATGACACGATGAACTCACGCAATGTGAGGCCTTGCACGAAATCGAGCTGAAGTGTGCCGACCAGTCGTTGTATTGCATATCAAGCAGTTTCAAGCTTGGTGGACACTCCGACAAGAGATAGTCGTTAGTATTCTTTCGTCCCTTCCATGCGGCTCAAACGCTGAGGGTTTAAGAGCATAGGGACACCAATGTCAGGCACAATCAATACCTGAGGAAAAATTCGAACGAACTGCCGGACGCATCGAAACCTTCATTTCCCTGGGACCTCTGAACCATAAACCCTGAACCCAAAATCGAAAGGTTTGTCGAAGCGGCTGGCGTCCACCAACCTACACCTTCAAAACGCTGCTGCGAGTAGCTACACTGTCCGCTTTTTGGTATAATATATATATATATGTAACCCTAGGATTCAGGTCTAACTAGCTTGAAGCAAGCAGTGCCGGAACGTCAGCAATTCAAATGAACCATGATCCCTAAACCCTACAACCTTACGGAACCCCTAGACAGAAATTTTACGGACCTCTACAGGACCCTGATAAAGCACCGACAAACACCTTGAAACCTAAACCCTCAACCCTGACCGGCCGTGAAAGTTGCTGGCGCGTCAGGGGAAGCGAAGCGCAGAACGCGCCCCACGCGGCTGGAAACGCAAAGCCTTTGCGGCGCACGCTGATTAGGTAAGTATAGCACGAATGTTAATAGTAAAGTAATCATTAACCTTTAGTGCTCGTTCCACAATTATTCTTATTGTTATTATTATTATTATGATTATTAGTGTTTGGTCGTGGTGGTAGTAGTAGTAGTAGTATCCTTAATCGGTTGCGGCGGCCCAGAACCCGGGGACTTAGATTATGGGGAGTTTACGCATTTAGGCCTAACACCTCATTTTTTCACATCGTCGGCAAAATTTGTCTTTATTTGTCAATATTTGTCTTTATTTGTCCGGATTTGTTTTTTTGTCTTTATTTTATTTTTGACGGTTGTATTTTGATCATGTACCCCGTTTTTTATGTGATTGATTCAAAGTCTGTCACTGGCGGTTCCTGTGTCTTCGGCGCAGCTTTATTTGTTTTATTTGTCATTATTTGTTGTTAAATGTTTCATTTTGATCATATTTTATGTGATTCAAATTCTGGCACTGGTGCTTATTTGGATTGTCATTATCATTTGATGTTAGGTTTTGGTTTGATCATGTTTGGTTTGTTTTAATGATTGATTCAAAGTCTGTCACTGGCGGTTGCTTTGTCTTCGATGCTGCTTTTTTTGTCTTATTTGTCATTATTTTTTGTTGTTAATGATTTAAATTCTGGCACTGGCGGTTCCTTCACCGTCGTCGACGCCTCTGAGGAGGACGATGCCAGGCTGCCCTGCACATGCCCGTTAGATTGGAAGTGTCCTCGCAGATCGTCCAGCACCATTGGTTCCAAGAGTGTCAGAGCTTGCAGCAAGTGAATAAATGCCCGTCCCATGAAAGTCATCATGTAACGATTAATGTAACCTGCAAGTCTTGAAATACTTTACCGTTTATTATTCCCGTCATGGCGGATGATGCCGATGTGGATCGTCATGGCACGGATTTCGGTGCGAGTCTGGATCGTTTTGGCAGTCATGGCACGGGTTTCGATCCGAGTCTGGAAAATCTTGGCAGCGANNAACCTGCAAGTCTTGAAATATCAGTGTTTAACGTTTATTCCCATCATGGCGGATGATGCCGATGCGGATGATGCCGATGTGGATCATGGCACGGATCTCGATCCAAGTCTGGAGAATCTTGGCAGCGGTCACTGAAACGAGGCGCTGAGAGAGAAGCTCACGAATATGTACATAGTTTGCAAAAGTTCCGAAAAGCTGCAAAACTGGATGATTGGATTAAAAAGGCAGAGTGCCAGGT